GTTAATTAAGTCACTATAATACACACAATAAGCTTTGCCTGCTACGTCTGGTTTCTTCAAAAATTGTCCAAGAGCTTCTGTAACTTCGTCGAACTTGGAACCAATTTTAACCTTTACAGTGACTTTTCTGTCAAGCCAGTCCCATCGGAATTTATTCTTGACGTTTGAGTCAATTTCTAGGATTGAAGACTCCTGATCTTTCGTCAAAAATTTCATAATTCCGCTCAAAACGATCCGAGAAAAATGAATTTGCGAGACGAAGAGGCCGCCATGAATCGGGTAAAACAATATGTTACATGCAATTTGATTGGTCCAATCGCTTGTAGTTAACCAATCGCTGGGCCGTATATAATCGAGCGAAGACTTCCGCAACAAATAATGCCTTCAGTGATCTGATTAGTTGAAGCTTTCATACACGTCCAATCGCAGGGCTGTTTACAAACGGAAAACAGAGAGACTGTTCGGGAGAGCTCGTGAAAACTCGACGATAAGGTATCTGACCGCCCCTAAAATTTTTCTCAACGGATTTAGACGATTCACAGAAATGATCAATTTAAGAAATAAAACGGCGTATTTCCGCGGATCCGCGGAAAATTGCCATGTATGAAAGGTTTCGGTTCATCGTCAATCAGCTAAAATTACTCCAAGAGTGTGACGACGACTCATCCACGAAGTTGCAAAAGAACCGAGAACAACACCCAAAGAACTCCGGACCTTGCTGGCCTCAGTTCCTGAACAATGTAGCTCAATTTTCCTATTTTTAAAATTTGTCTGGACCATTTGAGCAGGACTGTGCAAGGAAATGTGTTGCTGTATATAGACACTGTAGATAATGACCTAGCTAGATAGATAAAAAAGGGGAGAGTGGCATCTTGAAATGCTTTAATTATACTGTCACAATCATTTTGAAATTCTTCAGGAATGTCTGATTTTGACAATGAAAATGACATGTCATTTAGTGCTTTTGGATGGATCAAAGTTGTATAGCAGTTGAGAGCTGCTTGACTAGAGGTCGAGGCACTTTAGAAGGTCAGGACTGTGCGGATGCTGCACAAGGAAAAAGAAACTGAGTGTTAGGGACGAATTTTAATCAATCAAATAAAGGACTATGGCATGAGTGAGCGTACCTCTTTCCAGCGTGCATGAGGTCAAATCCCTCATTAATCTTCTCGAATGGCAGCGTGTGTGTGACAAATTCATCCACCTTCAGCTTCTTGCTCATGTAGTCTTCGACCAGTTTGGGGACACTTTCCACACTCTTCCAGCCTGCAGGGAACAATGTTGAAGTGGTCTTATGGTTTTTCTGAGTCACCACAATTTCTCAAAACTACTTGTTCAACATCCACATCACAGTATCACTTTTGCATATCTAGAAAACAGTTTCTTTTCTTTGATTTTCAAATGCTTTGCTATGTCCATGCAAATGATTATGCCCAATTCTCTTATCAATTGCTGCCATGTTGCTCACAATGTATTATGAGTTTCTGTTGAATTGTCTCACACACACTGCAATGTTTTAACGTTGTTTTATTGCATAAATCTTGAGATGTAAAATGGTGAAACAAGGTGTTGAAATATATTCAGCATATTTGAATACCGGTACATCGCCAAATCTTGACTTTTTCTTAATGAAGGGCATGTGTGAAGCATAGATCAACCAATGGTCAACCAGTTTTCTGAAATCAATCACAGCAAACAAAGGTCGTTGTGGTGATGTGGATGAGAATTTATGGCATTAAAGCAGGCAACGTGAGGTGTAGGAAGACTGCACTGTAATTCCTACAGAGTTGCATGCGCTCCCCATAAAAATAAATAAATAAAAATAAATAAAATTTTCAAAATGTATGGTTCTGTTGTTTTCATACTGGTCTTGCTGGTGCAGCAAAAGCAAAACAAAGCAACCAAGATTTGAACAGCTGAACCTTTGGTGACTGGGCAACCCACTCGACCTGAGCATGAGCTTTTCAGCGGGGCCAGCATATTGCTAGGAGCTGGTGACCAACTGTAGTCTTGCTGGTGGTGTTGTGTTTAAAACAGGACTCATGCCACGGCAATTTCAAGAACCAGTTATGGCTCGATCAACCTCGAACCGTAGCTGAAATCTCGGCTACCAAGATGTACGTAGCTGCAGATCCACCACCACACGCAATACTTTGAATAGCGGCTGCACAAGCAACGTTATCTCTTGCTGGTGTCACCAGTTATTGTGTGGTGTTTTACAGACTCTGCAGTTTATGGGGAGAATCTACACATTTAAACACCAAACTTTAAAACTGAGGCGGATGTGGTGACTTATCCATCGTGGTGCCCCCCACCCCCTCTTAACACTATATATGCCAAAAAAAAAAAAAAAAAAAAATCATCACCTCCAAAGGCAGTGCCCCGCCACACACGTCCAGTCACCAGCTGGAAAGGCCTTGTCGAGATCTCTTGTCCGGCTCCGGCGACACCAGCGATGATGCTCTCACCCCAGCCTTTGTGGCATGCCTCCAGAGCAGCTCGCTGGAATATTCAACTGGTTAATTTCTTCTTGTTGTACTACATTTGACAGACACACAAACGCAACTTCTCACCATGATCTGCACATTGCCGATGCACTCGAAAGAGTAGTCCACGCCGCCGTCGGTGAGCTCCACCAGGACCTCATTGATGGGCTTGCTGTGGTCCTTGGGGTTGACAAACTCTGTGGCGCCAAATTCCTTGGCTTTGTCAAACTTGGTCGGGTTGATGTCGACGCCGATGATGCGCGTCGCTCCGGCCACCTTGCAGCCCATGATGGCGGCCAGACCGACGGCTCCCAGCCCAAAGACGGCGCACGTGGAACCGGGTTCCACCTGAATGGAAGGGCACCCACCCCCAAGTATGTTTCAGGCACTTTTATAAAGCTTTGTGAGCTGTACTGTGACATGTACAGTCTGTGCGGGTTTATAACTTGCTGCAGGGCCATGAGACTATGCCAATGTGCACTGTGTTTCAAGGTCTGCAACAAGCGAGTTTTCGTTTTCTAAACAATTCTCTCATCTTGTTTTGTATGACCAATATTTTCATCACGATCTTTAGATTTACCTAAGCCTCAGGGGAAAAGTGAGGCATCAATTTGGGGAGTGGCAATAATCTAAGTGGAATATTTGAGGCATGATAAATGTTGGCTCAGGGGTTATGTGGCAAGAACATTGTATGAGAAGGTGATCTTTTCAGTATATCTACCTTGGCGGTGTTCAGCGCAGCACCGTATCCTGTGGAGATGCCACACCCGAGGAGGCACACCTTGTCAAGAGGAGCCTTCTCACTGATTTTGGCCAGCGAGATGTCTGCTACCACAGTGTACTCGGAGAAGGTGCTGGTCCCCATAAAGTGGAACACTTTCTTGCCCTTGCAGGTGAAGCGGGAGGTCCCGTCGGGCATCAGGCCCTGACCTTGGGTCACTCTGAAGGATGAGAAGAACCAAGGAAGCATAACATTAGCAAGTTTAACGTAGCACAAACCTTCCTCATGTGGGCGATGTCAACACAAAATCAAGTGCAAGTTATAAGCCTTGAACTGCGCAGTTCAGGCGGTTCAGTTAGGTCTCTTCTTGCAAACTGATGCCAAAAGGCCTAAAAGAAACAAGACTGACAAAACATACACGGGATTTTTACAATCTAACATGTATGTAGAGAAAAGGCCAAGACACTTAAAAAATAAAATGTTAAAATAATGAAAAAAAAGACAAATGGCCAAAAGTCATTGAAAAACTAAAATAATGCATTTAAAAATACAAATTCATGTACATTTATCTTTTTCCCAGTTGTCAAACCAACTTCATGGTGCATGTCTGCCACCAAATGATATATTCCTTTCACTGCAAGAATGTGAATTGATGATGACTGGATGTAGTGAAGTGTGTTGTCGCTATCTAGTGGTGGAGTCTGAAGCACACACTTATCCCAAATTTTGCTCATATCTCAAGACAAAACATTGGTCACCTCAGGGCTCATACCTAGACACCATCTCATGGAGCCCTTTGCACCGGGGCCAACACAGTTGCCTATGAAGAGATTGGTGAGGTTGCGAATGGGCAGCGCAAAAATTGGACAACACCACGTCTACAGTTGCATTGTCTTTGCTCATTTTTCAACTTATATGACCAGTTTGACTCATTATTTATAACTAACTGGAATGTATTGAGTTCGGATTCAGTGATTTCTGTAACAAAATATGGATGATTTGTCACATTTAGCAGTTCTGTATTGCCCTTTAAATTCATTCTGATAGGACATACCTCGAAGAATTTGGTTAATGTCTGTACTTCGTTTTGTTACAGTATTGTATACACGCCAGGCCAATCATTGAGTGAGCCGACTGCCTCCACAGCAATATGAGCAAACTCATCCACGAGATGTGTTTTCCGATCACAAGCACACATTGCTCCAGAAAATAAAAGACCTACTTGGTTTTGCTGACATTTGAAGAAGGGACATCACGGAAAAGTGAGTGGAAAGATGCCATAGTGACTCGACAATGAAAAACTGCCCACACGCCATCCCAACTCTTTGAAAACTAAGTCATTTTTAATTTTCCCAATGCCCACTTTGGAATATTTGCCTTGTAGTGCTTCATAGTGTGTGTGTGTGTGTGTGTGTGTGTGTGTATGTGTGTGTGTGTGCATTGTGGCGTATGTGTTTCAAGCCTTAAGGTGTGGTTGTGTATGGTGTAGGAAAAGTCCCCTTGTTACTTCCCGGTTGGCTGCTTCACAAGTGCTTCCAAATATAGGCAAGCGTTTCATGCTGTCATCATTACACACGGCCACGTAGTGCACATCAAATAAACGGTTCTCTAAGACAGAAACAAATCCTCTAGCATTTTGTTTTTAACGAGGAACTCAAATTACTCGAGGACTTGTTTGAAACCTACAATAGTGCTCATTAAGGATGTATTTGAAACTCCTGGAACATTGTTCTAAGACAAGTGTACCTAATTTTCTGGCAGAGGTTGGTCTTGGGATTCTTGCAGAACTTGCATTCGCCGCATTGAGGCACATACAGCGGGATGACAGTATCACCTTGAAACGCATATACACATCAATCATCTCTCAGCCATCTTAACTAAAAATACTTTTAAAATCCAAAATGTGTCCGAGACCACTTACCGGGTTTAAACTTGGTGACGCCCTCGCCGACACTCTCCACGGTGCCGGCGCCTTCATGGCCCAGGATGACGGGGAACACTCCTTCTGAGTCACTGCCGCTCAGGGTGTAGGCATCAGTGTGGCACACTCCGGTGGCAAATATCTGGAAAAAAAAAGTTGTCAATGTTAATGGGAAGTTCCACTTGATTGTACACCACACTGCCCAGCCTTGCTTTACCTTAATCCGGACTTCATGGGCGTTAGGTGGGGCCACCTCCACTTCTTCAATTGTCAGAGGCTTGCCCGACTCCCAGGCTACAGCAGCCTTGCACTTGATTACCTGGAAAGTTAATCACACAGGGTGACGATTTTGCTTCAACTGCAGAATAACTATCGTAAGTACATGGAGTCAATGAGGTGTCACCTATCAGTGTGGGATAGGTGTGAACTTCATATATTGAACTTTGAACTACAAGAACGTGGGCGAGGCCTCCCGTTTCAAATAATGAATGAAAAATCTCCGCTGTTAGTTCAATACATAAATTCCATTCTTGTTTGTTTACTTTCGCCATCCAGCCAACAGTAGCTCTGCCATGTTTTCCTTCTCTTGCAGGATTATGTAACTAATAGCCGTACCGAACAATTTCCACTGATTTGGTGTCAATAAACGACAACCAAACGCAGCTCCCGTAATGAACTTTCAAAGATTAATTAAGATCCGGTAAAATTGGTGATATTTACATTAAAATGCGAAGTAAGTTTGCAGAGTTTACCCACCTTACCAGATGTCGCCATGCTTCTACACTGTCTTAGCAAGAGAGGTGTGCCCAGCCGTACTTGAGGACAGTTTGACCAATTAAATAAGGACTCATGTGACGTACTTCCGGAGCGGCTCTCAACCAACCAAAACATTACTTCGTTTTTTCATCTCAAGAAACATTGAGATTCCCAAAAAAGTAGATTTTTTTCCTGAATATTTACAAAAACACATTTGGTCATCGAATAGCGTTGTTTCTCCTGTACTTAGCCCCCGCTGGGCGAACTGGAAAAGACGCCGAGACCAATCCGAATCGAGAATAGAAATGACGTTGAAAAAACGTGTAGCCGAGTTTGGTGAAATGCGGTATAAAACGTTAATGCGTTTGACACAAAACAATCTATTCTTTCATTATATATTTGTTTCTGTATGCAAACTTCAGATAAATAGACCAAAGTGGACTTTGTCCTCTATTTGTTAAGACCTGTTACCCCATGGCCTTGTATGTTGTTTAACATATAGAGATTGAGACCATAAAACTGTCGAGATCTAATAACCATGGCTATAAATCAAGCTAGAAAAGGCTTTAGTTCAACAGCAGCAAATGGTCACTGGAAGGCTTTAGAATAAAAATACAACAATATTTTACACAAAAACATTTAATCAAGACATACATGATTTTCTGAAGTTAGAACTCAGGACCCTGTACCCCCCCCCTCCCCTTTTACATTTGTCCATACATCACTAAGGACAATTTGTGAATGCATGTGTTCAGTTTCATATGACATGACTGAGGTTTATCAATTATCCAAAGCATGAATATAAGCCTTAAATAAAATTAAAAAAGTACATCACTTATGGAGAAAAAAAAAAACTAAAGAAAGCAAATCCAATGAAGAGGCAATGACCAACTTTGTAACCCTCACAGAGGACTGGGATAAATGGTGGACCCACAGAAGATCATCTTCCACCTTCAAATACAACAAAGAAGTTCAACAAGGCTGATATGACACAATAAAAGACAAATGATATTCAGGATGTGCTCCTGCCTCTGAATCCACGTCCTCCGCCACCTCCTCCTCTTCCTCTGAAGCCGCCACCTCCACGTCCTCCTCCCCCGAAACCTCCACCTCTCCCACCTGCCCCAAAACCTCCACCTCTGCCACCTCCTCCCCTTCCACCCCGGAATCCACCTGAAACAGCAACATTTTGGTGTCAATTATTGAGAAAAATTCAGGGTATTATCAAGTGGTACTTTTATACATAGAATAGAAAGGTGTTCTGAGTTCCAACAAATAAAATTGGGCAAAGAACAGGAAGAGTAACCGCATCACCTTTTAGCCTCGCTTCTACTTGATCAACAGATTTGCATTGTATTCAGTACTTTTGATATGTGCCACAACTGTCGGACTCTTGCTAAAACAGGTGAAGCCATGACACTGCATTACCCACACAGCTTCTGTTTACATCACAGATGACACGTATTACCACGACTGTGACAGACATCTCATTAAGCCAGTGGGAGAAGCACAGAATGAGACAGTTTTGTGAGATAAAGTGCCAAATAAAAACATAAACACAACCAATATTAAATTGTTGACGATTTTGATCATCGGCGTCACAACCAGTCATCTCATTACCTCTGCGTCCCGTGTCCTAGATGCATAATTTTCCCGCGGGACGCATAGTTCCAAATAATGTGCGTTTTTGGAACGCAAGGAAATTTCTCAGACAAAAAAAAAAAAACCTACGGTACATCTTTTTTTCTCCAGCACCGCAATGTCGAAGTTCGACAATCGCTATGCTATATAAATCATCATGTATTGTATTGTATAAGTGACAGCCCATTTACCATCGATCTCTCGCGAGTTCTCTCTCTCTCATATCAGTTTTTAAAAAATGTCTTAAAAAGAAAAAAAATGCTGAATATGAACCAAAGTGTGATCTTGAAACCATGGTAGGTGTATCAAGCCACGATCTTTGACAAACCGTGACTACAAACTAAATAAATGTGCTCAACAATAAAATACTGGGATCAAATAAAGCGCAAGTAAATTTGTCACCTCCACGACCGCCTCCCCGTCCACCACCTCTACCGCCACCTCGGCCCCCTCTTGGTGGACCCTTTTCACCAGGCGGCCTTGGGAGGAACCTCTGCAGTGGAAGGAGCTTCATTGGATCTATATAGAACTAAACAAGAACATTGACCAATTAGATATACAGTTTGATGCATATTTGCATGGAGACAGGGTGTGAATTATTACCTTCTGCAGTTTCTTAAACGAAGATGCCTTCATGTTTTCAGATAGTTTGACGGAAAAATACTGAAAAGGTGAGTTAAGGAGTAACCGAGCAGCAAGACGGTTGGAAAACAAATTAGACATTTGAAGTGAAAAGGTTACAAATTCCCGCAGTTGTCCAAATATCTCATCCACTTTTCCGATCTGCTCCTTGTTTTCCAGGTATACTGGTGCGTTGAAGTAGGGAACCTTGTTTTCCTCAGTCGTGGATTTGCACACAATGTCGTCCTCACAGGGATGCACAAACTCTCCTAGAGCTATGGAATTCATGTTACAAAATTATTTAATTACAGTATTTAGGGACAGTTAAAAAGTTATGTTGTCAGTGGATGCGTTATCTTGAAATCCTGAAATACATATATACAAAAAGATTTTTTTTTACCCATCACACAAGTTTAACTGTAGCCTTGACGCCGTGAATAAATACAAATATGAAAATAATGCAAACGACAAAAACAGATGAAAAATACACCAACATCACAGAAACACATTGGAAAAATGCACAAATTAACACACAAAAAAAATGTGACCAATATTTTAGAAAAAAATATATAGATTAAGACAAAAAAATGAAACCAATTAGACAGTAAATAAATAAATAAACTACATGTTGGAAAATATCGCAGCTGCCCTGTGAAATACACAAATACCCATTTCTTTTTTCATTTTTAAGTTGATGGGGTGTCCACGTTTCGGACATCCCATGAATGTTATTTCATTCCAGAAAGTGAAACCACTGGCGAACATGCCTGTCTGTATGTTGGACGTTGAACACTGTAGAAGGCTTGGTTTTATGTTTATATTTATTTTCTGTAGAAGGCTTGGTTTTATGCTTATATTTATTTATTGATCTCGTCTTTTTATTACGGTAGTAAGGATCCCTCTGGATCTCATATTATTGAATAAGGTAAAGGCAAAAAACAACAACAAACGTTTGGCAACTCTGGTTTGAAGGGTCGTCTTTCTCCATTGGTTTGCAGTATGCACACCAGATGGGAGAAGCCAAAATACAACTACTGCTCTTCGAAATATTAAATACAGTAGTAAAGATAATCCCAATTTCAACAATAATGCCTACTATCCTAAGTATTAAATTAGCTCTTCTGTACCGTACCATTTGAAGCTTTGTTTCCAACATACTTAATTCAGCAATACTCGGTTAAGTGATGACCTCTATGCTCTTGCTAATCAAAAGAGGGAAGTGTAATTGTTGTAAAATGAGGTTCATACTGCTCTGACATCGGCTTGCATTTGTTTTCATGCATGAACCTCTCACCAACAACGTATTCGGGCGGTCCATAGTCTTGCTGTCTGAAACCACCGCGACCTCCACCACGGCCGCCGAAGCCTCCTCTCCCACCGCCGAAGCCTCCTCTACCGCCGCCGAAGCCTCCTCTACCACCTCTGTTAAACCCTCCACCTCTTCCGCCGCCTCCTCTATAAGACATTCTTTAAAATGATCTGGAAAAACAAACAAACAATCATCAGAATGTTGGCTTGTCGGCTGAACACAACACTGCAAGACAAGCTGCTAGCAAGATCCGACCACATAAATAACTTATCCATATATGGAAGCACAACAATTAACTTTTACTACTTGTCGCGACGCAAACTATTTAAACACAAAATGAAAAGGGTGAGACGTTTACAAAAGCATTTAGATTGTAATGTATTTTCGTTACCTTCAACTTCGGCAGCGACTACAGAGTCCCAGTTCTCCGTGCATCAACACGTGTGACTACAATCTGCCGTAAAGCTGTTTGTTGTCAGTGTGGTGATGAGAAGACGCAAAGTGTCGCAATTACGAACTGCATTGGGACATGCAGTGTTGTAGTACTTGATGAGACAGAGTAATGCACTGCGCAAATTAGTTAAGTATGAAATATTAAATATAGATGTAACATGATAATACATAGTAATATTTGCATAATATATGACGCGTGTCACTCAATAACACAGTCGTTTGAACATTTTATTATGTATTATATATTATTACAGTAAATGTATATTTCGTTTAAATTAATACAACTGTTATCCATTTGAGGTCAATGTACTAGTACGCCCTTCGTCCCCACTAGTAAGACAATTCAGCGAACTGTATTTACCCCCCACCCGCCTGCATATATTTGTCTACTGTAGTATGCAATCTAACCTTACAATGTAAATGTTTAGATTCTAAACATTTACGTTGAAACAACATCCTTATTTACTGTACAGTCAAGCGCCGCTATTTGTGTGGGATTGGGCCACGAAAAGCCTTAATTCGCATGTAATTGACACCCAAATAATAATAATTAAATCCTACAATTTCTCCGACAAAGTGCATAGATTAGTGTGGCTGAGTGTCCAGCTAGTTCTGAAAAAGGCCGAACTAGTGTAATACATATACAAATGTCTGATATCAAGGATGTGCAATAAATGCTCAAAGGGCTTGTCATACTGAAAGGGCTCGCCATACACCACCACTACTACTACTACTACTACTATTGCTAGATTTAAAAAAAGCAATCTTTTGGCACCTGGCATGTGAACTCTACATATTTCCAATGTGTGAATTCAGTAAATATCCTTGCATTCACATCGACATTTCACATGAAATTAAGAGTAAATGTAAATGATTCTTTTTTACTTTTTATAGTATTCATGGTTTACAAGGTTTTATTTATAATTTTATTTGCATTGTGATATCCAATTTTTCAAAATGTATTAAAAAAACAATCTTCCTCCGGTACGCTTCTCCTTTGTTGATGTTGTAGTAAATGGCCACTAGATGACAGTATTCTGTCACGTAAAAAGTTACGCGTTCCTGTCCATA